TGGGTTCCTTCCTTCCCACTACAGGCACCAACTGGTGGGAAGAAAGCCCTGAAGACCCTCCCTCACTTTCAATGTCAATGGCTAGGGAAGGAGAGGCAGTAACTTTCTGGTGAATAACAAAACAAAATAGGAACTTATCCCACTGCTGATGTTAGGAAGTAGATCCCATATTTTAAGGCAAATCAGAAGTACAGGAATAATTATGGAAACTTATATAGCATGTCCAGGCATCGATCAGCACTGATTTGTTTGTATCAATCACCTATTCAAGGCAAACTTTTCCAGAAAGAAGTGCTGATAACCACTTGGCTGTATTGTTGGAAAAGAGGCAGGTTGCTTTGTACATACCCTGTGTCTCATTTGCTCACAGGCAAAGTGGGAAAAACAGTGTCTTCTGTAACTGCACCAAGTGTTCAATGTGAACATTAAATGAAAGCCTGGCACAAAAAAGCTTTGAAAATTACCACTTTAGTAGAAAGGTACAATAGTAGCAACAGAAATAGTCGTTATGTACTATTGCTACCCATTTGGCACCTCATCAGTCTACATAGTTTGTATTTGTATAGATGGATATAGCAAGTTCACAGAATGACTAATTGGAGGATACTGATAAAAAACTGCTTTATCTAGAACTTGGCCTAGTTATCAAAAGTAATTATTTAGTCACACACTTTAGGATCACTTTTAAAGGGTGGGACATCAGAAAAAGTCTCTTGAAACTGCTTCTGCATGTAACCATGGTGCACAGACAAATGAATGCATATATGTCCACACTCAGTGTATAACAAAACTATGTACCTACATGAGGGGGAAAAAACATAGCATGAGGTCCAGAGATTGGAAGGCCAGGCTTATCTTGGTATCTCTATGGGCATAAAGAACCAGTTTCCTTTAATCTTCTGCTCTGCCTTCCAGAGCATCTGTTACCTCATCAATACAATGGTTGGTAGACTGTCCATCGTCTGAACTTTTTTTTAAAAAAAGGATTTATTCATTTATGCATACAGAACTGGTCTTCTGACAAAGGTCTTCTGACAAAACAGTCAAAGAAATCACCTTGGCTTAAGTTTAAAGAAGTTGACATACAAGCTTTTACAGATCAAATTTGAACTTTATAGGCAAAAGAAAAAAGTGAATAATTACCATTAAGGAAAAAATATTCTTGTTTGCATTTTGTGAGCCTCCCCACCCCTGCTCCACAACCACCTGGTGACCCACATCAGAGATCTAGTATGCCAGGCCCTGCCTAATGTTGACACCGAACCTCAGGATAGTTCAGACCCCCTCCTCCTTTCACCACCTGACAATCAAGAATAAACAGCAAAGAACAGAAATCTATGGCTAGGGGAAATAATGTTCCTTTGATACACAGGAACACGAGGGTTAAAACTAACCAAGTACTGACTTTTTGGTGGTGCCCAGTATACTGATGACTCTATCAGGCATTCCTTGGTTTTGATATTTAGTATTTTCCTTTGGAATCTTTCTAGGTTTTCCATCTGTGCCTGTATTACCCATCCACTCTTGCATATGTAGAACCCTGTGCTTATCAACCTACTTATTAAACTTCTTATTTAATAGATGATATGTCATGGCTGAGTCTAGTTCTGATGCTCACTGTGTCTTTCAGATATCCAGGCATCAGAATAGTATGTATTGTTTTTAACTTGCCTGATGCAGACTCATAGCACCTGTAACACCCAGATAGAATGAAGGGGTCTCAAGATGTCATTTCTTCACTCTGAAATATATCCCTTCAGTTGATTAAAACTGAGTCTCTGAAGTTATTAAAAAAAATTAATAGATGATATGTCATGAAATGCCTTTCAGACTATTTTACTTTGCTTTTTTTTTTTTTTAAAGATTTATTTATTCATACATACAGAACTGGGGTACAGGTCAGAGATGTGGAGGGTGAGAGGATTCACAAAGGACAGAGTGGGGAGCAGAACAGGCAGATGGATGAAGTACACTGTTGAGGGGAGCAGCGGCGGGTCAGGAGAGGTCTGCCTCGCCATGTGGTCTCCTCCGGGGCAGGCGGGGATCGAAGTCATGCGGAAGTGGCTTAAGCTTCTTAGGGCTGTGCTTTAACCCGCAGTGCCACCAGGGATGGCCTGCCTTTGCTTTTAACAACTTGCGTTTAACCTTGTTTGTTGTTGTAGTTGAAAACTGAACTTGGCAATTAGCATGAGATGACTTAAACTATATTTTTATTTTAAGGAGTTTGGGCTATGTGTAGTGTTTGCTATAGATATAGGTTTGAGGGACTTCAAAAAATTCCTTGGGTGTTTTTGGTCTTTTGTTGTCTTTGAATTTCCCAAAGAATTCCTTGTTACAGTGTGTGTTTTACAGTATTTCTGCTGGACACTATCATGGACACTGTTGATATGGTGATAAAGTGTGGAAGAGGAGACATGTTCTAGAATTGTATCATCAAATCTTTTAATAGGGATGTGTCCCTGGGTTGTGTCTTTCACAAGTGCATCTCAGCACTTAGGTGAGACAGGGAGGTTGGGAGAGGTTGTAGTCATAGAAATGTCCTTGTTCTGGATAGGATGTGTGTCTGGCAAAATCTTTTCCCATTAAGTATAATTCTATTAAAGATGGTGAAGGCTCTGGACATATTTCACAAATATTATTTTTTTGATCCCCCTGTTAGAGCCACAGGAGAATCTGGTGGGTGCATGGAGGAAAAACACATGGAAATTTGGAGCCCTCTTTAAGAGTACAGTCCCTAGTAGTTTTAATCACGCTAATCCAACCTCCCTCTTCAGCATTTCATCAAAATTATAATTTAAGCCTTCCTAGTTTATGGCGTTAGTGGCTTCTGCTCCAGGTAAGTAAGTAGTTCTTGGCTGTCACTCCCTGTATTCACATCTTTCTCCAGATTTTAGAGTTGTGAGTTGCCCTCTGACCTCAGTTCTAGATGAGTCTGGTATGTGTTAATTTTACATTTTTTCAGTGATAATTTACAAGTTTGTTCTATATGAGAGTTAACAAACCAAAGTTCTTTTAATTACTAATCTTTAAGCAAAGATATTGTTGTAAAGATGGATTCAATCAGATAATACAAAGTCAAGTTCTCATGTTAACTACTGTGTGTGTGAGTGTGTATGTGCATGGTTCGATATGTTTTTTAGTTTGGATGAGATTACTGAATGTTCTCTAAAATCAATATTTGATGAATTTCTCGGATCTATTTCTGTTCGTAAATTCTACTTAAACGAACTTCAGGGCCCTCCCTGGTGGCACAGCGGGTAAAGGCACAGCACTGAGAAGCTTAAGCCTCTTCCGCATGAGTTGGATCCCCGCCTGCCCTGGAGGAGATCCACATGGCGTGGCAGACCTCTCCTGACACGCCCGCTGCTCCCCTCAGCAGTGTGCTTCGTCAGTCGGCCTGTTCTGTTCCCCACTCTGTCTCTGGTGAGGCCTCTCACCGCCCCTGAGCCTCTGGCCTGTACCTCAGTTCTGTATGCACTAATAAACAAATTTTTCTTAAAACAACAACAACAACAAAAAAAAAAAAACGAACTTCAGTGTCTAACTTGCCATAAAATTAAGTAGACCAGCCTCCTGCCATAATCTTTCCACTCTGTTATTGATACCTTGACCATGTATTACAAAGCAAAATGAAATCCATTGTCTAATCTTACTCTCAAAGTTTATCAGAGTTGGGGTGGGGGGTAGGTGGTAGACGAAGGGTGCTAAAAGTACACACTACCCACTGTACCCACAGATACCCAGCAAGGGGGATGCGGCTGGGCCCGCCTGTACCAAGCATAAAGGCGGTCATCATCCCAGCAGGACAGACACTGAGGGCTCAGATAATCTGAGTTTGGCAAGTGACTGGCCCCATGTACTAGACAGGAGATCGTGCATTTCTCTGCAGTATCCACTGGCCTCGACCTGGTTCCCAGCTAAACACAAACCAGAGTTTAGAGGTTAAGGAAAATCTGGAGCGCAAATGGTTGCCTCAGGACACAAGGTTTGAACGGGCCGCTCTTCTCCTTTGGGCCTATAGGGAGTAGCCACTCTAACAGCCTCCTAAGAAGCTGAATGCTTATTAGTCTAGTTGCATCCGCAGGGGGTCTCGCACTGTGCAGGGGCGGGGCCCTGGCAGCCGTTGCTGGGAAACCGCGTAAACTCAGAGCTCGCGCTCTTTCTTTCGGGATGAGAAGTGGTGGCCACCGAGTTGGAGAGGGGCATTTCGTCTGCCAGAATGGTGAGCAGATCTTGGATCGTGAGGTCACTTATCTTTTCATTTAGTTGTAGTTAAGGCACTGCTCTTAAAAGGCTTGTGAAGTGCCTAAGCTGAAATTTCGGTGGGGAATTTGTATTTGCGTTTAGAGGATTCGAGGGCTGTTATTTAAAGGGGCGCTGGCAGTGATTTCAGTCTTTGCTTCCCACCGCCACCGCTCCCCCCCCCCCCCAATTAATCTACTTGGTCAAATGGTCAAAATGTTTCCCATATTTTTTTGAAATCTGGGGTAAGAGTAAAAGCTTTAGAGCGAACAATATAAAAGTCCAGGAAAGAGTGAATAATTAAGTAGCAGTAGATGGACTTTTCTAGACCTTCGTAGGAAAACCGCTTTAGGCCAGCGCTTTCTGGCTTTAACTGGAAAGGCTGCCGGTGCTTTGAGGGGAGAAGGAACTTCTGCCCAGTGGTGAAGTGCTTAGGCTGTACCTTTTCACTGCATGCCTGTGACTCCAGGTACTGCAGTTGGTTAGCTGAAGAACCTTGGGTAAAGTTGTTTTTATATTTTCGTGCCTTGTCTATAAAATGGAAATAATAATGGTACCTACTTAATTGATAGCTCAGTATTTTTGAATCTACCAGTTATTTTTTTATGGTACATATTTCTCTGAATTTAAGAAGGAAGTCAAATTCACTTTATCTATGTTTGTTTTAGATCTTTGCATCATTTGTTACTTGGTCTTGGATCAATATATTAAAATTAGATTTTGGAATACAAAAGTATACATCCTCTTTTGCATTGTAGGCTTCCAGGAGAGTTTTGAGTTTCAGCGAAAGACACCAGAAATTAGTAGATGAAAATTACAACAAAAAATTGCATGTTGATGCTTTAAAAAAGATAGAGAAACAAGTCAACGATGAAATCATGCGTTATCAAAATGATGACCGTATTGAGCAGAAGAGGTTCCTCAGACTATTACAGAACCAACAATTTGAGTTGGATATGGAAGAGGCAATTCAAAAGGTAAGTTTTACTATTCATTCTCATTATTAATATTTTTTTCTTTTTCTCCTTGGAAATGAGTACCCAATGCTAATACTGGCAAGGAGTAGTCAATGATGATGAGCTAGGTTTTTGAATCCTTTCTATTAGCTGTGAAACGCTGGATAAATTGCTTGTAGTTTTTGTCACTTATGTCAGGGGAATAATAGTACTACTTCATATGATTGTTTTAAAAATTAATGAGTAAATATCTACGAAGTCCTTGGACTAGTCCCTGTAAGAGTAAGTAGTCAGGTTTATTTTTCATAAATATGAAATCCAAACTAGTTTATAGTTTTAGTCACATAAATACAATTATGTTGCTTTCCATAAAATTCTAAATACAAAAATTTAAGAATTTTTTTTAGGTGTACTTAGACTAACCATGGAAAATGGTTATTAAATCACAGAAAATGGGCACCTACGTACTAGTTTTGAACTTTATTTTATATATTTTATTTTAGAAGAGTTCAGTTACTGTATATAGAAGTACAGGGATAATTTTTTAGTAGAATATTTAAAGTATTTTGGGAGATAAGAGTTATAGAAAGGGAAACCAATAAAAAATGAGTTTTCATAGATGTTTTGATACTTAAGTTTTTTTTTTTGAGCCTACTATATGTTCAACATCTGGTCGGATATTGTATGGAATGGTAAAAACAAGTTTTAAAAGTGGAACACAGAGATGTGAATACCTAGACAGAAATTTTTTTGTTCCTGAGCAAGAATATGTAGGAACTAGATTTTTTCCCCTTTAATTTTAAAGAAAATCACACATAACAATTCTCTTCTGCATGTCAGCAAGCATCTTACAAAATACGGATATTTTCTTATGTAATAGTAATTTAATGTCACTATCCCACTTAATAAAATAATTAAATTTGAATACCATTTAATGGTATTCCATAATAAAAACTTGTGTGATTATGACAAAAACCTGCTTTCACAGTTGATTGGTTTTAATCAAAGTCCAAATAAGGTTCACATAGTCTATTTGGTTGTTTTGTCTGTTAGTCGCCTCTTAGTTTCAGCCTCTCCTTTATCATTTAATTAACTTCATGTTTTTAACTTGTCCAGCAGAGGCCAATTGTTTTATATGATATCCCACGGTCTGAATTTTATTTTTTGGCTTTCTTATTTGTTACTTTAGTTTATCCCTCTCTGTTACTGCCTTTAAATGGAAATTAGTCCTAAAGCCATAATGAGACTTAGGTACACCTTTTTTGGCAAGCACTGCCTAGGTGATGCTGGCCTTGATATTGTAGTTAGATTTAAAATGAAAAGCATTTTAGGTTTTATACTTTGTGAATACTAAATATTTTGAGAGATATTTTGAGACTATGAAAGTACTCTGCTTCTGTTTAATTTTTTGTCTGCTAATACTGAAATCCCTTGGTGGATTGTGTCTTCAGCAGTTACTGCTTTCAGGTACTACATATTTTCTATTTGCCTCATACCTTTTATTTTTTGTTTTTGTTTTTTGTCTTTTCTATGAGAAAGTTTTCCTTCTCTCTCCTGTATACTTACTTACATCATGGTAGATCCATTGATGTTTATATCATTCTTTTAATTACAATCTAATTTATTTTGATGCTTCATCTGCTCCAATGTTGACTTTTGTCGAGGCGTCTGCTGTGTCCTCCTGACGTGCTGAAGCTTATTTTTTTTTTTTTTTTTGCTGCATTCACTTGCTTTCTGGTACCACAAGATGTTCCAGGCTTAGCTTATTACTTCCTTTGCTTGAAATCAACCATTTCTTTAAGGAGACTTAATTTCTTTTATTGGAGAACCATACTTAAAAGCCAAGCATGCTCATTATTACTGGGATTTTATTACCTTACTCATTTTAGATGGAAATACCTAGAACTAAAAGTACACTCAGCAGTGCATTCACACACATCTACATTTACTTTTGTGTTTATCTGCATGCATTTATTAATTAAAAACCAGTCTAACTTGGTAGCTCTCACTACAGTTTAGCACAAGAGTCATGTTAGCCTTTCCCTGTTCCTTGTTCCTTATTTGTTACTTTCCCCAGCAAAGAAAGCTGGCTTTCACTTTCTACAATATTTTATTGATTCTTTCAACCCCCCCCCCCATACAAATAAAGTAGTTTCTGAATGGCTAACTCTTCACCATGAATAACAAATTTAGTATCAATTTGGGTAAGTTCTTTTTCACTTCACCCTTAAAATACCTATTCAAAACTGTTCTCCAAGATTACTTACATCCACCACTTCTCAACTCCTCTAATGTTGTGATGTGATTAATTTTAATACATGTAATATGGCATAGGCTCCATTCCATTGTTTCCCTTCTCGCTTACTTCATTCTTTAAAATCATTTTCGCGTTGAAATAACTAAATTCTTGGCAAGTTGTAAAGATAGAGGTTGGTCCACTGTGCCACTTTACCCAGTGGATACTTCTTACATACTTAGTATTACATCAAACCCTGAAAATGACATTGGTATAGTATATATATATATACTTGTCATTTTATCACATGCTCATTTGTTCAGCCACAGCCTTATTTCAAACTAGACTTGTAACTGCTAACGCTGTATTCATGCTACCCCAGCATAGTCACACACTTACTTTAATCCCCAGTCTACCAGGCAGCTGCTAATTTGTCCTCCATCTCTATATTTTTGACATTTTTAGATTATATTAGCTGTGAAATGCTGGATAAATTGCTTGTAGTTTTTGTCATTTATTTCAGGGGGAATAATAGTTCTACTTCATATGATTGTTTTAAAAAATTAATGAGTAAATATCTACAGAGTGGAATTGTCTGACCACTTGAGTACTCTTTTTTTACTCAGCAGAATGCTTTTTTTTTTAATTAAAAAGTTTATTTTTACATCATTTTTCACATTTTTTTTTTTCATCTCAATTGTAATCTCAGCAGAATGCTTTTAAGAATGATAGTTGTTTGGATATATCACTTGAGTACTTTTTTCACTCAGCAGAATGCTTTTAAGAGTGATAGTTGTTTGGATATATCAATAGTTAATAATTTTTTTTTTTGAGTAGTAATAGTGTGGTATGAATGTATGGTTAATTTCTTTTTGAATGTGTGCCCTATAAAACTCATTCTTTGTGATGTACAGTACTATGGATTTTGACAACCTACTTTTTTTTTTTAAACCATCGGTGTCATTCATGCAAAACAATCCTGTTATATCAAAATTGTCTTTATGCTGTACCTCTCTGTAGTCAGCTGTTCAAACCCCAATCTTTAAAAACCATTGGTTTCTTTTTTGGCTCTAATAAGTTTGAATTATCCACTATCATAGAAGTAGAATTATCCACTATCAACTTTGGGTCTGACTTCTATCACATAATAAAACAAATGTAAGATTCTACTGTATGGTACAGTATTATCACTGTATGGATGTACCACAGCTTGTCCACTCAGATGAAAATAAATCTGAATTGTTTCTGGTTTGGGGCAATTACAGATAAGCCTGTATATATATTTAATTATAAATTTTCATATGAGTATACATTTTCATTTCTCTTGCATAGAGAACTGGGAGTAGGATAGTTGAATCGCAAGTTAGGTGTATGTTTTATTTTGTAAGAAACAGGCAAACTGTTTTCCAAAGTTGTTTCACTGTTTTGTTTTTTTCCTCCAGTAATGTATAATTCCAGTTGCTGGTGTCCTTACCAGTACTTGCTGTTGTTGCTTTTTGTAAATCAAAAGTTTGACGGAGATGTTTGTAGATTTATATGGAATTTTACTAACAGGTCCTGTGTACTCTGTACCCAGGATCTTCCAGTGTTACGTCTTGCTAATGTATAGTACAAGCTATCAACCATTATTCTTCAGCCTTCACATTTCTATTTTACTTTGATGTGTATGTGTTGTGTATTTAGCTCTTTGCAGTTTATCACAGGTGTTGGTTTGTCAATCCAGCACCATAATCAGCAGCTAGAAGTGTTCTGTGATAAAAAAGGATCCAATTTAGGTTGCCCCTTTATATAAGCATATCTATTTCTTATCTTCTTCTACCTCATCTTGAACTCTGGCAACCACTAATAGATTCTGTTTCTACAATTTTATCATTTCTGTGGTATTACATACACAAGAGGTCAAAACACTTTTTTCTTTTAAAGATTTATTTATTTATGTATACAAAACTGGGGTACAGGCCAGAGGTGCAGAGGTGGTGAGAGGACTCACCAGAGACAGAATGGGGAGCAGAACAGGCCAACTGATGAAGTACACTGCTGAGGGGAGCAGCAGGCAGATCAGGAGAGGTCTGCCGCGCCATGTGGGTCACCTCCAGGGCCAGGATTGAACTCATGCTTAAGTGCTTCAGCGTCCTAGTGCTGTGCTTTAACCCACTGTGCCACCAGGGAGGGCCCCCCGAAATAATTTTTAATGGGAAAAGGACTTTAGAGCAAGTTCCTCAAAGAAAATATACAAATGAGCAGTGACCACAAAATCCTCACAGATTAGCAAATAGGGAGCTGCAAATCAAAACCACCTCAGACCATGAGGATGACTGTAATTTTAAAAAGAAGGAAAGTAAGTGTTCACAAAGATTTGAAGAATGAGAAACCCTTGTGAATTATCTGTGGAAAGATAAAATGGTATAATGGCTATGGAAAAACACTTGGATAGTGCCTCAAAAGTTATATTTACTCCCAATACCACCCCTCAGCATATACCCAAGGTAGTTGAAAACTGTGGCCAGCCACACAAATGCATATAGCATTATTCATGACAAGCAAAAAGTGGAAACAGCCCAAATGCCCATCAGTTGATTGATAAAATATGTTATCTATACAGTGGTTAACAATACAGCCATAAAAAGTAATGATTTACTGATAAGTCCTGCATCATGGATGAAACTTGAAAATTTTACATCAAATGAGACACCTAACTCCAAAAGACCAATCAATGAAAAAATGATTTAATTAAAATGATATATGTAGAATAGGCAAATCCACTCAGGTAGAACGCAATTTAGTGGTTACCAGGAACCTAGGGTTACCAGGCGAGGGGAATGGTGAGTGAATGCTAACACTTATGGGGCTCCTTTTTGAAGTGCTGAAACTGATCTGGAATGTTGAAAACTTATGTTCACATAAAAACCTACATAGGGAAGTTTATAATTGACAAAACTTGGAAGCAACCAAGATGTTTAATCAGTAAATGTATAAATAACTCAAATTAGTGTATCATTTGGTACTATAAAAGGAAATGAGCCATTAAGTAATGAAAAAACATGAAGGTACCTTAAATATATATTGCTAAGTGAAATAAGCCAATCTGAAAAGGCAACATATAGTATGATTCAAACTTGATATTCTGGAAAAGGCATAACAATATAGAGAATAAAAAATATGGTCGCAAGGGATTTAAGGGCAAGAGAGATGAAAACACAGAACAAGATTTTTTAGGGCAATGAGACTGTTCTGTACAATAAATGGTAGATACATGTCAAAAACTACAGAGTGGATTTGTCATATATGTATGTCAAAACCCATAGACTGTACAACACCAAAGCGTAGATTTTAGATGGTGGTGATCGCGGTTCAGGTTCACTAATACCGGATGCACTGGGGTAGATGCTGCTAATTGTGAGAGACACTGGCCATGTGGCGGGCAGGGAGCACAGTGTGTACGGAACTTTCTTTTCTCCTCAGTTTTGCTTAAAACTATAACTGTTCCAAAGAACAAAGAATAGTCTGTTTAGAATTTCAAAATTCTGGAACTAGGTAGGAATGATGGTTGTACATTATGACTATACTCAAAAACCACTGAGTTTTATGTTGTGACATCTCAATTTAAAAATAGACTCTCCCAAGAACATTATATGAGTGGAATCAAGCAATACTACCCTTTAGAGATTGTTCTTTTTTTTTTTT